CACAATCGGGGCACCAGCGCCGGCGGGACCCCCCCCCCCCCCCCCCTCCCCCCCTGCCCCACCCGCCTGCCAGTTTTACGACGGACAAGAGACGGAGCAAAGGTCGGATCCCGAGACAAGCACAGCGGCCTGCGGCTCGTCGTCTACCAGAGTTGCAGGTGTCGGGTGCAGGGCCGGCAAGAACGGCCACCGCCGCAGCCGAAGCTCCTTCGACTCGAACTTCGGCACGCCCATCGTGGGCAGGGGCAGGAGCGGGGGCGGGGATCAGCCTCCGGCAGCGGCGGTGGCGGCGGCAGGAGGAGGAGGAGGAGCCCCGCTCACGGAGCAAGGGAGGGGAAGCCCTAGCCCGGGAAAGGTCCTGACCTCGGCCTTCAAGTCGGCGTTTGCCTCGTCGTCGTCGTCGAGCGCTAATCCCAGCGCCGCCGGCGGGGTGTCCCCGTCGCCGCCCCCGCCCCCCGTCGGCACCTTCTCCGGTGCGAGGGTGGGGTCCATGAGGCTGGGCGGCGGGTCCATCGCCGGGTTCGCGGCGCAGCCGGGGTCGGCCAAGCAACAGCAACAGCAGCAGCAGCAGCAGCAGCAGTCTGGCGGGGGGGTGGGGAGCAGGCCGCAGTCCTTGAGGACGGCGCCTCCGTCGCCGTTGCCGCCGCATCAGCCCGGGTGAGGGGGGGAGGTTAGGGAAGAGGAGTGGGGTTTGTTGGTTGCGGTAAAGAACTCGTCTTGGGGTTGGTGGGTATGGAGTGAGAGCTAATCACCGCCGCCGGTGCTGTTGCGCTCAAAGCAGCAACCACAGCTTGGTCGCGCCACGTTCGGTGTACACATGCGGGGCAAGAGAGGCGTGAAAAAGTGTCCGACCCACTTGGACGAAACTGCGCTATATTAGTGATGTCACTTATATCCTTTGTACTAGTCGGCGCTGACTAGTCTGGTTTCGGCTTCTTACGGCCAACGGACAAATCGGCCCAGCAACAATATTCTTCTTCCTACCTTCGCGAGTGGGCATCACAGGCAGCCCCCCCCCCCCTCCCCTCTACCGGCCTCCCGCGTAGACCCTGGGTGCACATCGCTGCGTCTACCTTCTTCACCCTCGGACGAACAGCGAGTGCGGTCGATACCCCTTACCCGCCACGCATGGCATCGAAAAATCTCCCGCCAAAACCTCCCGCCAAAACCTCCCGCCATCCAGCCCCTTGCCCCCGCATTCCCTCTCTGCGCCTCTAGCTAACTGCCGACGCATGCGTCCCGCCCGCTCGCTCGGTCGCTCTTATTTTGTTGTTGTTGTTGTTGTTGTTGCGAAATATTATTTCAGGGCACCTGTATCCCTGGAAGACTCGCACTCGCTACGCGCCCAACGGCTGAGGTCGTCGCAGACCTCGCCGAAGAGAGGTGGCGTCGGTGTCGTGCCCGGCACTTCGTCTTCGTCCCTCGGCGGCGGTGGCGGCGGCCGCGACGGCGGCGGTGCGGGGGGGGGCGCGGGTGGGGCTGGAGGCGGGCCCGGGTCCCCGACACGACGGGGCCGAGAAATACGGAGCCTCGAGGAGGGGTACGCTAGCAAGGTGTTCGCTGCTCGAAGAGGCGGCGGTGGCAGCACGAGGTACGGGAGGGAGGGGGGTATCGATCGATCGAACTGGGTTCGGATGGTATTGATTTCGTGCGGTGTGTGGTGGTGATTATTGCTTGGTTTGTGGTGGGTACGGTGTCTGTCTGCGATCATAGAGGAAGGCTTGCTGACAACAACAACAACAACAACAACAACGGTGTCCGTCTGCGATTTTAGCGCGAGGCTTGCTGACAACAACAACAACAACAACAACGGTGTCTGTCTGCGATTTTAGCGCGAGGCTTTCTGACTGTTGGGTGCGTCGTCCGTGGTGTGTGGGCTTAGCTGCGGGCAGAGCACGGGGGGTGAGGACGTTGAAAGCGTCAATTTCCTCCCTCTGCATTTCCTAGTCTTGTGGACTCCTGCTGCCGTGCTCTTATTCCCCCCCCCCCCCCCCCTTTTTTGCGGTAACCATAATGGTGGTCGAGTAGATCATGTTGTGCGGGGTCGATAACCCTCACTCCGCGCAAGGGGGATGATCGCACCACGTTGTGTTAAATTGGTCAAGCATCCTCGAGGCAGTTACACAGTGCTTACAACTGTCTCTGGAAGTGAAAGCACCAGAAAAAAAATTAAGTCATATGCAGCTGTCATCCGTACGCAAGGAAGTAAGCACAAGATGCCGAACACCCTTAGCAGGATGCAGCGCACCCTTCATGCGACTCGCCGAATAGCGCTTCGCGCTTGGAAATGTGAGAGCCTGGTCTGTTGAGAACCCGGCGTGCTCCGTGCCGGCTTTGTAGGGATGCTGCGAGGTCAATGGTCTAACGACTACGGCATGCACGACTATGAGTACACCCCCACCCCCCCTTTCCGTTGTTGCGTGTTCTGCCTGGTGGATCACATGAAACTGAAGCATCCGGAGCCAAACCTCAGCTATGCTCTCAGAGTAGACTGGCCCCCTCCCCCCCCCCTCGCGTATATCCCACACGCTCGCTCGTTTTTTTGTTGTGGCCGCGGGTCCCATCGATCCAATCCGCCTCCATTTTGTTTCTATGTCATCTTTCCCCGCCGTCCTCCACGTTTAAGCCACCAACGATCCGGCTCGCTGGCTGGATCCGACGGGGTTAGCGCGTCGGCGTCATCCACTGCAACGGCCACAGCCGCAGCTGCCGCTGCCGCTGCTGTCAACAAGGCCGCCGCGCAGAGGGGGGTAGGCCTCGCCGCCGCCGCCGCCGCCGCCGCCTCCGCCGACGGTGCCGACGGTGCCGACGGGGGGCCCGCGGAGGGCACCAGGAGCAGCGGCAGCGGGTCGGTGCGATTGAGGACGTTCGAGGAGAAGCTTAACCAGGGGGAAAAGAAGTGAGAGAGTTGGAGGAGAGCGGGTATATTTAGCAGTAGTCTTGCGCAGTTTTTTTCAAGTAAAATATTTTTTCAAGCAAACATATTGCATAAAAGTATTGAATCGACAAAGTTGGGGTTTGGGGTCTGCGTACCCCTTTGCCTCGCCTCCTTTTTTCTAGTAGTAAACTTGCTTTCTTTGCGTAGACAGTCCGTATATATATACCAAGCGGGTGGGTCCCCCCCGGAAACCATTTTTGAGCCACCTTTGGCGAAAAAGTGGTAGGAAGGAACGATTGACCATCGGTGATCGATTCATGCTCCGTCCTCTCGAGAACGCGTGGTCAATGGTCTAACCGCTAAGGCATGCAAAACATGAGAGTACGCCCCCCCCGCCCCCCC